TCTTCCACGGGACGACCCCGGGGATCAGTCTGGATCCCGCAACTGCCGCAGAGCACAGCTTCCCCCCGGGACACGGGCAGCTCAGCCGTCCCTTCCCCGGGCCAGGGGCAGCCTCTCCCACCCCCCTGTGCCCTGCTGTGTGCCTCTGTGCCCGCTGCCCGCCCCGCTCCTCCTGGGGCCTCCACCAGCTTCCCGGGAGGAGGTCACCTGCGGGGCTGCTGCTCCGCCCCACCGCCTCACCGCGGCGACTTCAGCTGCACTTGCAGGTTCAGGGAGATGCCGGCCGCAGCAGTAACTTCACCAGCCATTACACAGACCACTACATCTTAAGGTACGGTGCGTTTTTGTATTTAGAAACCTGACGACTGAAATACACTATGAGAACTTTTTTTCAGCTGTCTTAAAATAATTTACAGCTTTAAGTAATTGGCTTCCAATTACAGAAAATAACTTCACGGGCAGAGTTGTATAGGGCAGCTGCAATGCTGGCCCCAAGCTGACCCCCACACCTACACAACACCCGCTGTTGGCACAGACCCCTCCCAATTTACAGAACCAGACACATGAAGGAGTCTGCTCCTGGCCTGGGACCCAGGAACACCACACCACTCAGGAAACCAGCCAGGTCCAGTGGTTGCCAATATACACACACTCAGATTATAATCAAGTAAGAGGTTGCACATTTTACAGTTTTCTGAACAAAATGCAGATACTTACAACTGTTTTCCTATCATCTTCTTTTATAAGATGTTTATCTAGAATGGAAACAAACAGGAGTTACAATCAAGGAGATTTTCAAAGTCAGTTACATGGAGCCTTTTAAGGCAAGCCCCTCCATGAAACTTTCAGGTTCTCTATTGCTCCATACGAGTATTAGATAAATTACCAGTCTTTCCGGTTTTAGGTAGTAACTGTGTTATGTAACAGACATGTCAGAAACGCAGTCTTAGCTTAAGTTCTCTGTTGTCCTCGATACTGCAGAGTCAAAAGGTGTGTGCCTACACTCAGCAGATTTTTGTTGCACTTACTGATCCCCAGTTTTCTGCTGGCGAAAAAAACGACCGGCCAGTCACGGTGCGACACCCACTGGCTTCGCACACCTAGCTACAAAGCTGGGCGAGGATGCAGATTTTAGGATGCCTCCAAGACAAACAATTTAGATGCCTTAAGTCTCAAAACCGCCTATGTAAAACTTCGGCAAGCAACGCAAAGATTACGGGACCATTAACAAAAGGCAGCACACAAAAGACGGTAGTTTCGGTGCGCCAGCGCTGCCGGTGAAGGACCAGAGAGGTTACTGGGGCCACGAAGCAGGAGGTTTGCTCAGTGCGAAGCGGACACGGGGAGCGCCGATGTAGTCACTGGGGTGCGATGCAAACAGAACCCAGCACAGG